TATCAGGGGAGGTCCCTCACAAATGGAGAAAAGCAAATTTGCAAAAAAGACCAAAAGGACAGTTTGGGGAATCACAGGTTCATCAGCCTCACCTTGTTCCCTAAGAAAATAATGTAAAAAGTCCTCTGAGAAAACATTTCTGGGTACATGAAGGATTAGGTGGTGGCTGGTAACTGTAAGCATGGATTTATCAAGTGTAAATTATGCCTGACCAATCTGATTGCCTCCTATAATAAAATAACTGGCTTTGCAGACCAGGGGAGAATGGTGGATGCCATTTACCTTGATTGTAGGAAGGCTTTCAACACTGTCAGAAAATACTGTCAACATACAAGTTTGGATGTTACAGTCTGGATGGATGGACAACCAGATGAGTTAAAAACTGGTTGGATGATCAGGCCTTAGAAGGTAGTAAACATGTTATACTGTATCTGGAGGCGAGTAACAAATGGAGTACCATAGTGGCCTATCCTGGAACCCATTTTTTTCTTTTAAATATCTTTGGCAGTGACTTGGTGATAAAAATACATGCTCATCAAGTTTGCAGATGACACCAAATTGGATGGAACAGTCAATATGCTTGAGGGCAGAGCTGCCATGCAGAGATGCCTAAACAGATGGGAGGAATGGGCTGGCAGAAACCATATGAAATTCAACAGGACATGCAAAGTCTTGGAAAGGGATAACCCCTTGCAATGATACAGGCTGAGGAGCAGCTCTATGTAAAAGAACCTGGGAGTCTTGGTGCATGTTCAGCAAGCTAACCATGAGCCAGGAGTGTGCCTTGGCAGCAAAGAAGGCCAGCAGTATTCTTGGCTGCATCAACAGTAGCGTAGCCAGTAGTCTGAGGAATGTGATTATCCCTCTCTAATCAGCACTCGCTGGACCAAATTTAGAATACTGCATCCAGTTTTGGGCCCCCCAGTCCAGGAAAGACACTGATAAACTGGAGCAAGTTCAGCAGAGGGCTGCCAAGATGGTCAGGGAGACATGCCCTGTAAGAAGCAGCTAAGGGAACAGCTTGTTCAGTCTGGAAAAGAGAAGGCTTCAGGGGGATCTACTAACAGCTTTCCAATACCTACAAGAAGGTAATCAAGAAGAGGACCAGGCTCCTCATGTTGGCAGTTAGTGGAAGGAAAAGAGACAACAGGCATAAATTGAAACAAGAGAGGTCCCAACTTGATATAAGGAAAAAAAAACTTTTCACCATGAGGACACTCAAGCAGTGAAACAGGTTGCCAAGAGGGAGATAGAAAACCTCCAAGGATGGAGGCTGCACAAAGCTTGACTGGATAAAGCCCTGGTTAACCTAGGCTGACCCCATAATTGACCCTGCTTGAGCAGGATGTTGGACCAAAAACTTCCTGATGTTCCTTCCAACCAGAATTATTCTATGATCCTAAGTTTAAGGAGTCCTATAGACAGTGTTTTGCACACGCTTGCACAACTTTCCAGCAACTTTAGAACACAAAACTCCAGGGCTGCGTGAATGCTATCTAATTAACTCAAACATTCAGCACAAGACCAGATAAAGTCTCATATAATTTCTCTCCCAAAATACTACTGTATGTCCAGATGCAATCACAGCTTCACAAAGACAACATGTAAGAAATAGCATTTTCACTGTCAAGGGAAAGCTCAATGCACTAATCCACGTGCATGATCAAGTCAAGCTGTATAACTTCTGCAATTGACTGTAGAAGACTGCTCATGGACCTGAAATGAAGTCCCACTCCAAAGCATCACACTCACTCAAATGTACTGAATGAAACAATACACCTAACTTTAAACAGCTACTAATGTGGGCTGTGCAATAGTGTCACCTAGTGGTCAGTGCTTACAGCGAAGCCAGGGCCCAATTCAAGAAGAAAATTTACTGCCCATCTACCAACTTTGCTACTCTACAAAATCAGTGGAGACTTTTAAAGAATATATATATATGTGTGTGTGTGTATATATATATAGACACACACACCTTTATATGAACCAAGAAGTGCAGTAACAAATACGACAAGTGCCTTCCCATCATTCAGTTTTAAGTCACATATCTTTCACGAACTTGAAAGAAATCATTCCAGATACGGAATAAGTAAGTTCTTCCCAGATGCAAGAAGCATTATTGTCTGGCCTAGAAGAGAAGGATTTCCAGAATGATAGATTAGTACTGCACTTTTTTATACCAACAGAAAAGAGTTTCCAGATCCTCAGGTGTATAATAATCATCCACTTCACTGACAAATACAACATTGATATGTTGTACAATAAAGTAGAACATCCAAGTATCTACCGCATAACATTGTCCAAGTCTTATATGTACAGAATCTGTAAATAGTTTTAGGGTTACAAGTTTTACAGCATCCCCCAACTTTAAGGAATGTTCATGCTACTGATTCTTGACAGATTAGTGATTTCTTCTGATCTTAGACATCTGGAGAATGAGGAGAGGCAAACTTGAGCTATTTCAAAATTCCAGAGATTTGTAAGAATGTTCATTCCACTCAGTGAATACACCTTGAAACTACCAAAGTTCATTATCTCTTTCCATTTCTCCTGCTATCAGGTCTGCTTACACTTTGCGCCATATTTGAATCAAATCATCATAGTTTCATTAAATTTCTACTCTGTTCAACAGCGTTCCCTTCCCTCATCTCACCTACTGTTCACTTAGCCAAATAACTTGGGGATGAGAAACACATTTTTGTTATTCTCCATAGGTTAGCAGATACTTGGTTGCACCATATCTCCTACTATGTTGAAAATATTCTTAAGCACATCCCATCACTGTCCAACATCTTCAGTTCAGTTTCTAGGTTTCCAAAGCAAAGGAACTTGACTCAGGCAAATGAAGAAAGCCTCTTTTCAAGATGTGTTCCACAATGACCTGGCATTTATTTGGCTACTTTGTATTTTATGCAAGTTTCATAAGATCTCCACTGTAACAAGATGAAACTGAAATAGCAGACTTCTAATCAGTAAGTAAACAACCAAAAATACTGCATTTTTCTAGTGGCATAGGAAATACTGAGACCTGGCTAATCTCTACATCAGAGAAACAGCAATACCACAGATAGGTTGTTCCATTTGCTCTTAGATTTCTCAGCAGGCTTCTAAAGACTAAGCAACTGAAACTTTTGCTGCATTGTTCCTTTTTTTCCTCTGCTCTTTAGATTACAGTAGTAACAGAACTAGAGAAATTTCTTGTGTAAAACTGCATCTTCTGGAATTCATAGTAACTGTCACATCACAGGCAGGGCATACAGACAGTGTTTGCTCACATGGCTTACCAAACATTTAAGAAAAATATCTTTTTGTTCACCAATGTGGTGACCCTTACAGTTTCTAAGCTATATACTAGTTCCATAATATTTGAGAACTTGAGCATACTAACGAAGATTCTTTCAAAAACAGCCAACAGATTGGTATATTTCTATAAGCACTGAGCTACTGTATAGATAAATCTATAAAAACCATAGTAGTATTTTACATCGTGAGGTTATAAAGCCCATATAGAATACAAGAGATACTAGAAACACCATAGCACAGCTAGCTTCCATTCTTGGTCAGTGATACAAAGACACCTACGTGTACACATGCAACCTAATGAACATGCCAGAATCTGACATTAACAAGATTTATATCCCAAAATAAATGGGACAGCAGGTACAACAGAGAAAGCAACAGAATAAATAGCTGAATGCTGAAAAGAATTTCCAAGCTCTAGAAAATTCTCCCCATTAGAAACTGGTAATTCCCAGCAACTATCCCACTCTGATTTTTCTCACTTGCCTTAAACAGAAGGGTAATTAACAAGATGTTGCATTTTATGTTACTTTGCTGAAGTGTATATACCTGAAAAAGTGGTCTTTCCACCCTAAAAAGTAAGTCCACCCTAAAAAGTAAGTTCATGAACATAAATGTTTTTCCATTTCTCATTTTTATCAATGTATAGTGCCAGATATGATTTAAATAAAGAAAAAAGCAAACATTAGATGTTGAGTCAAAAGTTTTCTTTAATCACCAGCACAGACAGCATGTCTCTGGCATCCAGGATGTTGAAATGAAAGAACAAAGAAGGAGAATTAAAAAGTAAAACAAAAACCGCAAAACAACTTCAGAAATACTTCCCACTTCCAGCTTCAATGCAATCTGAACAGTAATTTAAATAATGCTTATGGTTTGCTTATAACATTTTGTTTTCATCTGTGTGGATTAGACTTAATTCAAACTAAAAAAAGATTCTTTAGTATCAAGGACAGAACTATTTCAGCTGATTTGCTAAAGTTTTGTATAGAAAAATTACTGATTGTAAATGGAAACAATTACTGACTTCTATAATGCTTAAGAAAATTGCTCTTCTCTTTGTACTAATGCCAGCATTTACCAATTCACATTCCTATGTTACACTTACACTTCTCTCTAATCTCACATTTATAAGCCTGCCCAAAAGGCTAACTTCAGGTTTTCAAACACCTTAAAAAAAAAAAAATCAGTGACTTCACCAGAGCCTTCCTAAGAAGTAAGTCCTATGTTTCACTTATGTAGTTAAAAAGAAGAGAAAAGAAAGGCTAAATAACCAATGTTGTCATTTGTCAGCATCAATAAAGCCTCCTTTATATAAGGGTATTTACAATGAAATGACAAAAAGGAAGTAATTAACGAGCAAGAAGAAATAAAGCACATATTGGTTTATGTACTTACCAGACCCACAAGACTGAAATCTTTGGAAGTTCATTTACAGCTAGGGAACTAACCAAATAACCATACATACATTGATTTGATAAAAATTTAATACAAAGAATAACCTCAAAAATCTATAAGCTTACCCCAATTGTTTTTCAAATATTTATATTTTCTAATAAGGTTTAAGTTGTAAACATGTACTCTGAATTATTTAATACGTAAATTACTAGATTTTCTTTCGTTCCCCTCCTCGAGACACATGCATAAGAAAAAAAAAAAAGGTGCTCAATAAGACAAAAATATAACAGAAATCCGATTACCTTGGATTTAAGATTTCACCAACAATTTCTTGCAGCTTGTCAATAAAATTAACAAAGTTTGAAAGCCCCTTTACATGGACTCTTAAAGGATCAAATAATGAAGATGCACAGCCTCTTCCTCCAAGTTCTACAGTTCGGATAAAAGATGTTGCCATCTATTAGGAGAAATATTCAGAAATATGAAACTGTAGACATGTGAAACATACGCATATTGAAGTAAGCCTCTCCCACAGATTTGCAAACAGTGTATAACAGCTGGTTGGTAGCAGAAATAATTTAACTGAAATCAATAGAATACCTCTTAATGGCATCTCACCATAAATATTTGCAAGATCAATACTTAAATAGTGCAGCAGTATAAAAAAAAACCACAAGCCAAAGCAAAAATGACCCAGCTAATTTGACATTTACATTGGTCTTTTGACAGCTTAGAAAAAACTTTATTAACACAGGGTATAGAATTTTTTTGTTGTTGCTGCTATTTAAATGCTCGTGCTGACCTCCCAAAAAGTACTCTTATATTCAGAGAGCTGTCTATGACCCAAGAACAATTTTAACATAAGCATGTAAAAGTTGACTTCAGTAGTGCATTTATTTTCAGAGGTGCAAATAAAAATAATGTATACCCAAAGCTTCTGAAAAATTATGACAGTTAAGGCTTCTATCATCACAGGTTCCCAATTCTTAAAGTTTCCATATATTTTTATATGCTATAAAGACACTGAAAACAAGAGATGTCCCAAAAGCAGTATGCCTTAGAGGACAACCCCTCAAATTTTAAGGCAACAGTCAGAATAAAAAGCTTAGCAGTTCTCCAGAAAGGTGAAAGTGAGGATTACAATCCAACACACTTGACACAGATGCAGTAATATTAATTCTACATATAAATTTTAATTTCAGACTATACAGCTAAATCATAAAACTCTTAGGACTGGAAAGAGTACAACTAGAATTACTCTAGCAAAGAAAGTAAACCTGCCAGTATTCCTGCCTTTGTGCTAAAGATTTCCTGTGGATCAAGTACAGTTCATAGGACCTCGCCTTCCCAATGGAAAATATTCTGGCTTTGCAAGATTTCTACAAGACACAGATGCCAGAAAAGAAGACTTCTTTACACGGTAGAGAAGTTTCCCCTCTGGCAACTGTGAGGAAGAGGTAATAAATCCAGTCCAAACACATACTTTTTTTTATACAATGTTAACAGAGCATTAGGAGCTAAAATAATTAATCCTGGAACTGAGATTTCACAAGTTTTCCATATTTATTCAACCATAAAAATCTGAGAATGCAGCTGCTTCAGTGACTGTTACATACCCATACTGTTTTTCCTTGGTCTGTTGTCTGCACTGAGGCCACTATGCATGCAAAATTTAATTATTTTGAATATGAAGGACTACAGTGATTCTTTGGAGAAAGAATTCTTACTCATCTTATTCCAACTATTTTTGAGATGGCTCTGTGCTAACTATAACTACTGTAAGTATAAATGCACCTCACATACCAAACTAGATTCTTTAGCAATAAGCCTCTGTGAGCATTGCACATTGATACTGTAGCTTTTTATATTCCTATACAAGTGCATTGAGGAAAGAGTATACCGCTGTCTTGAGGTTTTTTCCCAGCTCTGACTTTGAGAATAAAATTAGGAGGAGTGTCCCATATCAATCACATCTTGAAGAGTACTTCAAGACTGATCAAGCTGCAAATGACTGGAAAGCATTACGCTCCCCAAATTCTGAGTCAAAACTGAAAAAGTTGCAATACTGCCCTTTCAAATTTTGGCCTCTGTTCTAGTGTACATGTCAAAGGCAGGGTTTTGTCACCAGGTTGCTCTAAGAAAAGCAATTTGTACACAGAAATACTTTACATTTAACAAATGCACAGAAAAATGCTGGTTTACTATTTAACTAAAATACTTACTTTTAGCACTTTAAAATTGAAATGCATTGTAATGCATTGTTAGTGGCTTGGTTTTGTTAATGTTAATACTGCTTTGTGATATTTATTTAACCTAACCTCATTGCTTTTAGAGGTATTTGGTAAGCAGTGACATCTAGTCTAATGCCATCTTTTCTTCCTTTTTCTTTTTTCTGATATGCATACTCATGACCTCACTTCACACTATTTACCAAGACTTCAAAATTTCAAAGGCAGTAATAAAAAGCATATCTTATATTCATGTCTAAGATAGTAAACTTTTTCAGGATTTCAGTCACTGTTTGGGATGAACAGTCTTGACACCCATTTTTATGATATCACATTTTAGAGCTCTAGAGGTACACATGCACACAATTATTTTCCTGTGCATCTTTAGATGTCATGACCAAGCAAGCACCCATTTCTTCACACAGAATCTCTGTTGTGTCTTTTTAACCTAGAAACCATGTTTATGGTGGTATTTGATTTGGCTTGCAAATGTTAGTCTTGCATATGAGATTAAAGCAACATTTTATGTTTATAGATCTATTTCATTGCCTCTGATGGACAGCAAGTTTCACTTGACACACATACCAGGAAAATAGACATTCTTCTCTTCTGTGAGGCATGTTTTAGGTTAGTGAAGGCTTCTCTACCAAGTCCTCTGTCAGGAACATTTAGAATATGAGCCAATGCTAGATCATCCTTAGAATTCACCAACAGGCTTATATACGAACAAACACACTTCTTTGCCAGGATTGTCACCTGTATAAGAAAGCATCACAGAAATTGGTCATCCTGCTGCTAAATTATGTTCTTTTTTTTAAAGCTAATCAGATATGATATGATTTTTGGAAGAGTAAGAATTTCAAAATGTACTTTATGTACTTTATGTATGGGGATTCTGGAAGTATTGACAAAAGCAAGCATAACTTATGTGTTAAAATTACATATACTGTACTTAAATATTCACAAAATATTTGAGGGTTGGATCTCTAACTATTAAAATTGGCTATCAATTATTACTTAGAAACCTCTTCACAGATACTCCTTTTCTATCCCAAGGCAAAATACTAGCACTATTAAACCACATAAGGATTTGTCATTAACTTCAAATAGGCTAAGATTTTAAACAACTCACCAGCTCTGCGCCAGATTCAGTAATTTTTCCCTTGGCTCCCAAGGGATTTCAATCACAGGAACTCCACTGATTCAAGTTTGGATATAAATTGTGACCCAGCTCCACCCACATAACCAAAACATAACACTGTAATTGCTTATACTGCAGCACTGTTCTGGACCCTGTAAGAACACAGTCCCAGAACTGAAGAATTTACAGTTTTGTCGCAAGCAAAGAAAACAAAGACCAAAAAAAGGCCATTAACAAAAGGAAAGATAATGGGGGGGGGGAAATCTGTATTTGCTGTGGAATTTCTTCTTATTCAAGGGGATGTATACAACAAAAATGTAGGCAGTAAAAAACCAAGCATGCATGTGCAACAGTCTGAAAAGATGGATTTAAGAAAAAGAAAAAAGAGCAAGGAATATTTTTACTACACGAGTCAGAGCAGCAGGAAAGCCATTATGTTAGTGGTAGAAGTGCTATCTAGGGGAGAACCTTAGTTCAGAAAATATTTTCTTGTTCAGAAATATTGTGAGTTGTACCCAAATATTGAATTGAAATTGCCACTTATCATGAGAAAAGCAAGTCTGGAAATGACTAAAGCTTCAGCATTTCAAGCATTGTTACATAGTATTCTGAAATTCTTGTTTTGGGGGTTGAAAGGGTAAAAGGAAAGAATCCAGTATTCCCAGAAAGTCCTCAAGTCCTCTGCTGGGACAGACAAACCTTGTTTGCTTTGCTACAGCTACCATTACAGTGGCTATTCAGATTTCTTCCATATGTAAGGGAGTACAAGTTAATAAAATGAAATCAAAGTAGTTTACTTCACCTACCACTTTACTTTGCAGCACTGGCCAAATCATTTAACTCTTAGTCAAGACAATGTTTGAGTGATGGTGTACTTGTAGAAAAATTTATTCCCTGGTGTTTCAAGGCAGATTAAGTCTACGTCAAATGCCTGCCATAAAAGGATCGTCTTCCAGAATATAAATTTCTGCACTTAGCCCCATACACACACCTACAATATACTCAAGTGATACAGAGTTTGAATACACATATTCTGTTTTTTTAACCCAGCAACATTTTAATACCAATAATATGAAAAGGAAACTATGTTATATTTCATCTTTTCAATATATACAGAACATTACAAAAGAGACAGAAATAATTTTTACCTTCACATTCTCCTGGCCCTGTCTGTTGACTGGTGTAGAAGGAGTAGAAAGAACAGAACCATTATTTTCTTGTACGTTCATTATGCCAGAAATAAATTCCAACAGTTGAACCTTTAATAAAAAGATTAGCATAAACTTAAATATGAAGAATGCAAAAGTAGTATTAAAACCTGGTGAAACTGTGTCTCTGCCAGTTTGCTACTGTTCTGAGGTTAACTCAGCCCTTACAACTTATTTTTGGTTTTAGTCTTTAAAAATACAATTCTTGAAATGAGGTGCAAGATTCAAATTAACTTATAAAAGATATCTCAGTTATGTAATACACTTGCACTAAAAGCAGCTGCTTATGTTTTGAAGAACATTTAATATGTTATACCATGTTTAGGAAGAGCTCATTAACCCACCCAAGTTCTCTATCTTCCCCATGAAAACAGGAAGAAAAAAAAATATTTTAAAAAAAACGCAGTTTCCATGCCCTTCCTGAACTTCAGTTCTCCTTATAATCTCTTCTGTGCCTAATAATCACATGAGTGTTTGAGTGTAGGTTCTCTGAACCTTTAAGGAAGTAGGCAAGCTGGTTACTAGCATACTTGTCATAGAATCATACAATAATTTAGGTTAAAATGGACCTATAGAGATCATCTAGTACAAACCCATGCTTGAAGCAGCACCATTTTGACCAGGTTGCCCAGTGATGTGCTGAGCCAAGTTTTTAGTTTCTCAAAAGATGAGATTCTACATCCTCTCTGGGCAACCTGTTCCAATATTTGACCACTTATTCATGGAGAAAGCTTTTTGTTCTTACTAGGGCCGGAAGGTAAACAGTTTTAATCATGCTGTAACTAGTAATTCATGGTATGTTCATAATGTATCTCAGTTCAATTAACGTTCAGTTACTAATATAGCTTCCCTCATATTAAAATGACTATCTAATTAAACATACATCAAATTCAGAAGATGAAATAAAAAGTGATTTGTTGAAGTCTGCAATGCTGAGAGTGGGCAGTAAAAGCAGACAATTAACTCCTCTCTAATTTTCATTACAAGCTAGAAGTATGTGCATCTAAATGCAACATTTATTAATTTTTTAGTATCGATATCCTTTGTCTTTTGATCGTTCCATACTCTAGAGAGCACAGAATCAAGTAAAATCATGTGGAATGCTTGTGTTTCAAACTTATCTTAATTGCTACTTACATATATTTTTATCCAATAACATAGAGATTAATCAAATTCATTTTTCATAGACTTTCATAGTCTAAGAGTGGAATACACACTAGAACTTTTCTAGCCTAGAGCATGGCCTCACTTGCAATGTCATAAGAACATCTGAGCTGAAATAAACTGCAACTGCTGATTGAGTGGCTGAAGTGGAACCTCTTCTGGTTTCTGGGAAAATCTAACATGGAACTACATGTAGTATAGGGAATTTTTGCTTTTAAGAGCGTGGTATTTTTAAAATGATAACCATTAAAATATTTTGACTGCATATAAACATACAACCAAAACTCCATGACACGTATTAATCACTAAGCTTTGTTCCAGTCTTATCAAATCTCTACAGTTCATTTTTCAGCTCCATTTCTGGCAAAGAGTGATATACTCATAGAAAAGCTGTGGGACCCACCCATCCAGTAGCACAACAGAAAAATAATTTTTGAGTGAATTTAAGATCTCTTTAAAAGATTTAGTAATTTAAATTCATCTGCATCCCCAACAGAAGAGCAAAGTAACTTGTGAATACTTCAGAGCTCCTGTGTATATTTAGAAATGTCATAAATCCATAACTGGAATCAAAAATATGTCAAAACTATATCAGAGATCAAACAAACAAAATACTTACAGGGGCTATGCTTTCATCTTCAGATACAAGTCCAAGACCATAGCACTTCTGACATATGTCTATTAGATCTAACATATTGCTTCTTGCTAAGAAGGCATGATAGGCTTTTTTTAGGTCAGCGTAATTTTCAGGTTCTTTCATGTTTTTGTATGATAATCCCAGTTTGTCATGTAACAAATATTTCCAAGTTTCCAACACATCACTAAGTGATACTGTGAAATCTCCATGGTGCTAATAGAACAGAAAAAAGCAAAAATATTATGATTTGTATTCAGCATAGCTTTAAAAATAACTTTAAAACAAGTTGCATACATAAAAAAAAATAATCCAAATATTTAAGTCTATAATAAACAAAGTCTTACTTATAGTTTAAGTTCTTCCAGTGCTTTGCCTTTACAGTTGAATTTTGTTATATGCAGTATTTGTTTCTGATCTTTAAAATACCAGGAATGTATATTGAACTTTACTTATAACATATATTGACTTTCGCAAGGACTACTGCTTACATAAAGTTATTTATTTGCAGAAATAGTTTTCAGCATGGCAGGCATTTACATCTCAAAGGCAGTAAATATAGCTCTTTACCTTACTTCAAGCAGTAATCTGGGAAAACATATGCCATGTCAAAAAAAATGAGCTTTGTTCCTGTGTTAGTACAGTTATACTTTAGCATAACATTGATCGTATGGCTACATAGATCTAACAAATACATTAAAGCAATACACACCTATCTGTTACTAGTACCATAATTAACATTAACTATACAGTGTAGGTTACAATCTTATACCCAGCTTCTGGCCCAGTCTCCCTGTCAAAATTATTAATTACATTTCATGTGCCCCTCTGCCTTCTCCCCAACCTCCAAAAAGGAAAAAAGAATTACAGCTTATCAGAATATTAGCAGAATTAATAGAAATCAACAGAATTAATTTAAAGGAGCAGATAAAGTGGGTAAATGCCAACAAATATGTGGGTAGCAAAATAACTAACAGCATTTTGTTAGCAACTGAAGAACGTTTTCCTATTCTAGGCAAAAAAGAAAATTCAAATTTATCACAAAGTAACTTAAGAAGCTTGTATCACAGTTAGAAGTCCCTTTCTTCTTTCCAACTCTTGAGATGAGTGCTCTGTTGACCTTTGGTGGACAGAAGCACAAAATGTATCAACAGGAATGACTAAAGTCATGTTTAATTTACATATTAGTTTATCTTTTTTTTTTTTCCAAAGGATTTACATCAAAGTGGGATATCTGCTATTACTACATTTATATGTAGGGGTGTATTAAGTGATCATGCCTGAGCACTTCTTAGATGAGTGAACACTTAATTGTAAAGCAATAAGCTTGCAGTTTTGTTGTGCAGTTCTAAACTAAAGGAAAAAAGGGAATAAACTTTTCTTAATCTCTACATGGGAGAACAGAAGAGACTAAGAATGAGAGAGACTGTATGTCGTCCATAACACTACATGTAATCTCATTTATGAAGCAGAAGTAACTAAAGAACCAAAGCTGTTAGCCAACCTGGCATAGTTGGAGGTTACAAATGTGGCAGCAGGGCACAAATGGCAAACAAAAAGGTGAAAGTGTCACAGCAGATAGGAACAGACAGTGGAGCTGGAGTTCACAGAAATTTAGAAACAAGCCAAGTAAGTGACAAAGCCCTGTTATTTGAGTCACAAACCGAGTGATGTGTTACTGAAGAAAGTTGGATGCAAGCCAGCTACCATCCAGTTGTACCAGTAAGATGCTAGAGGAGAGAGCAGTTATTGCTGTACTCTAAGAAAGAAATAATTAGGTACAATACATAATCCTATTTGTTTAATCCCTGACATTGTCTGTTTTACTTTCAGTAAAGTTCTGTTTTTTAAACCAAGTGATTCACATTTGGCAGGGGAAAGGGGGTGGTGGTGAAATCAGCTCACTGAGCATCAGACATTTTAATTAAGTTTTCCAGTTCACCATGGGGGTACAAGGAACTGCAAGGTATTGCAAGCTTTCTAGGGCTAACTATATACCAAAGCAGCTTCTATTTTGACAGAAAATTGTTTTAAAAAACAGGAAGTGATGTGTATTTCAGCAATATCATGTTCTCTCCTGCCTTCCCCAAACAAATGGTCACTAACCATTTTTGGAATATGTGTGTTCAAGACTGCTGTGCTTAACCACCCAGATGTTGTCTCTAGTTCTATTATTTTCCAGCATACTCCTAGACTGCAGTATTGTTTTCTGGCATTGCCCTTGAGTTGTGCAATTCTGCAGTCTTGTCACCTCTGATCCTATTGAGCCTTCACTGCTTGCGCATGCTCTCGTACAAGAGAGAAGTTCCCAAACTATGGTATGTAAACCACATTAAAGTAGTATAAAGAAGCATTTTGAATAAGTTTCCCATTCCAGTGAACATTGATAGTGCCGTGCACAGATTTAGAAACTGTTTCATATAAGCACAAGTGTATAGACATAAGCATCTGATAGTTGTTATATTGCAATCTGTCAGAAGCAAAGCCAGTGAAGTTACAGGCCAATATCCCAAGCTTAGAGAAATGCCAGTATACCTTGCATGGGTAATTGTTTGGGACTGAACACTTTTTTTGGGGGGGAGGTTGGGGG